CTGCCAGGCTGCTGTGGGCCAAACCTGGATCGAAGCCTGGGAGAGTGAAGAATGGGGAGGCTGGAGCCTGCCTGGAAGAGGCCATAGCCTGGGAAGGGTCCGGTCCTCCTGGGGGCTAAGATGGGTGCCAGCGTGCCCAGGAGAGTGGCTGATGGTTGGGATGGAGATCAGGAAGGTTTTGGGCAAGCGGCAGCTGGAAGCCTGAGCTTGGCACCGGTGGGGGAACCAGGTTTGGAGGCCATTGATGGTTGACTCCTAGGCTCACTTGGAATCTACTTCAGTCTCCTCGGTGGCCTGGAGAGGTGCCTCCTGGCCACTAGAGGGCGCGCCAGCACAGCTTTACCTGGATCCGGCTTTCCTAGGGCAACCCCACCCAGGTACAGCCCTGCGCCTGGTGTGTCCACCCTGCTTACTAGTTCTTTGGGTTTCAGGAAATTTACAGACTTCTCAAGGAGCAAACTGGCTCAGATTTAGGAAGTCTGGCTACTGTTCTCAGATCTGCACAAAGGGGTATGTGTCGAGTGAGCATTTGTGGATGAAAGGAGACGTTTGGGCTAGTGCACAGATCGCCAACTTAGATGCCCTCAGGGCCAGGTGGGTTATAAAAATAAAGGAGGCCTTTGAGTTGTGAGGTCTTTGCAGTGCGACTCTAATTTTTCCCACTATTCCTGGAGATGGGATATGGAGAGACATTGCTTTGTGATATTTTGCATGATTGAGTCTGAGTCGCTAATGGCAACTGGCCTTGAGTGACAATAAGATGTGGTGGGGACTGTGGCAAAGCACAGATTCCCACCTGAAATTGGTGGCTGTCCTTCAGTTGTAGCTAATTGCCGTATTGTAGGTACGGGAATGTAGGTAGGTCTAATGCGAGAAATCTGGAGAAGCCAAAAAGCTAGATTTTTATGTGAAGTATTCCGATTTTTTAGTTGTTGGCAACTAATGAAAAAACATCTTAAACCCTGCTAATCGAACAAAAGGTGTGGGGGCCAGCTGTGGCGCCCCTGCCACCGTAGATCCCTGTGGGACAGTCCCCCATGGGGGCCCTGGGGACTCCACCGTTCAGGAATGCTGGGAGCTGCTGCAGGTGGGCAGGGTGTGGGGCAGGCGCCCAGCATCGTGGCTCACGATGGGCCCATCCAGGTGCAGGCTGGACGGTGTCCTCGGGTCTCTGAAAGACACGGGCTGTGGGTGGTCTCTACATGCTACAATAAATGCGGCTCACAATATCGTGCACATACGTGTCATGTGGTTTCTGATTGTAAAAGCTTTCACCTTTCATTTTCCCTCAAACCTCCCAACCTTCCTTCCTGATGAGGAAACCGGCTCAGGGGAAGGAGTTGCCCAGAGTGCACAGTTGGGATGGGGCCCCCCGGTCTGACCCCTCTTGCTGTCTTGCACTGCACCAATCCTGCCCTTCTGCGGCATCAAGGTGGAACCTAAACACTTGAAGTGCCAGCTCATGAGGGGCAGGAACCTGTCCCAGCCCAGGTGTCCGAACACCTGCTTAGGTGTGCGGAAGTAGAGGAAAGGTCAAGCTCCTGGCCCTTGTGCTGCACTCCTGTGCAAGAGGTGCAAAAATAGGGAGGCACAGAAGCATTTGTGTTAGTAATATATGCTCTGAAGAAAGTAAGAGGGATGGCTAGACCGTGACAGTTGGGGTGCCTGGGAGAAGATACTGCTTGGTGGGGTGTTAGGAGGGGCTGCCATCTCTGGGAAGCTCAAGGGGAACAGTGTTCTCTAGGTTTGGGTCCCAGTTGCCTTGGAGGCCCTGCCACTGGCATGGATTTGTCATGAAGGAACCTGGGATGCTGAAGAGGTGGGAGTGGGTGAGAGAGAGGCAGAGGGAAGTGAGAGAACCAGAATATATTTGGAGATGGGATAGGTATGACGGGTAGGAATGGTTGTGACCCTGGCTAGGGACCCAGGATTCTCCAAAGCTCAGTTCTGCTATGGGATATCCATCTGTCCATCTTCCATTCACTCACCCATCCACCCACCTGTGCATCGATCCATCCACCCATCCACCCACCCACCCATCCACCCACCCATCCATCCACTCACCCATCCATCCATCCATCCATCCATCCATCCATCCATCCATCCATCCATCCACCCACCCATCCGCCCACCCACCCACCCATCCGCCCACCCATCCATCCACCCACCCACCCATCCATTCACCCATCCACCCATCCACCCATCCATCCATCCACTTCTCCCCATCCACCATCATCCACTCAGGTGGGCCCTGGCTGGAGGCTGGGGTTACTGAGGCAGCTCAGACTTGCCCTTGTCCTGGAACCCACAGTCTCTTGGCAGAGGCAGTTGGAACAGTTGCTAGTGGTGTAATGTGTATATCATGACAAGCACATGATGATCACTGCTAGGTGGCATTTCATGCTAGTTAGAGACATTTCCTGTCCCCAGAGTGGAACCCAGAGCCATTCTTTCCCTTGTGCTGACGAATCCTTACCCAGAAGGGGATCTCTCCAGATGTGTAGAAAATACAAGGAAGCTTATAAGGCCACCCTGTACCCATCCCTCTAGGTGGGTCCCTAGGCCATGGTGACAGAGGTCATCCACCCTCTGTCAGGGAGGAGCACACACGAGTGATGACAGAGGTGGCCATTGTCTGGCAGCCTGGGAGCCTCCCATAGCCCTGGGCCTGCATAGTCTAACCAGAGGAGAGAGGCTGGCATCAGCTTGGAGGGAGGGCGTCCTGTGACATCAGGCTACTCCAGATGGGGAACTGGAAAGGAAAGAGAGATCCTGGCCTGGTGAGCCCTTGGATCTCTGGGTGAGGAGGTCAGACAGGCTCAGGAGGCTGGGGTAGGATTTCCTTCAGAAGATGGCCAGTGAGGTTAAGGTGGTGCAGGCCTTGGAGGGAGCCGCTCCCAGTGATCACCAGAGGGCACCAAAGCACAGCCCAGGCAGTGTAGCTGACTCAGCTGCAAACTGGGGGAGGCTGCGGGTGTGGCCGACGTTGGGTGGGGGGTGGGGGGGGCAGCCCCTGGGGCTGAGCAAGGCCATAGCCACGGTTCCACAGACCTGGGGGTCCACCCTGTTGGTGTCAAATCCAGGCCTTTCCACCCCCTGGCCTCTCTTCTGCAAGGACTCAGAGCCAATGACACTGCCTGAACCCACCTTCAGGCCCCCGCAGATGGTGGGAACGGGGGTCACTTTCTCTAGGAGGTCCAGGCGATAGGCTCCAACACATACACTTCACTTATCCAACCAGATTCATTGAACACCTATTATGTGTCAGACATTGTAGTGTAAGGATACATAAGGAACAAAAAGAAATCCCCTACCCCTGTGGTGCTCACAGACCAGACCAGGGGTCAGCCGTGTTTGTCTGCAAAGGGCCAAATAGTAAATATTTTAGGCTTTCAGGCCATACAATCACTGAACTCTGCTTTATGGCAGAAAGGAACTCTTGACAAGACAAACAAATGGGCATGGCAGTGTTCTAATAAAATTTCCTGGACACTGAAATTTGAATTTCATATAATTTCCATGTGTCACAAAATATAATCCCTCTTTTGATGATCAACCATTAAAAAACATAAAGCCATTCTTAGCTCTGGAGCTACATGGAAACAGGCAGTGGGCAGGACTCTCCTCCTGGGCTGGAGCTGCAGACCAGCCAAGGAAGGAAGAAAATGCCACCCAGTGAGCATCATAATGAGTCACTCAGCTGGGGAAGGGTGAGTGCTATGGGAATGTTAGAGAGAGCAGGGGGCCTTGAGGGTGTGCAGGGTGGGAGCCAGCCTGTGTATTAAATGGGGTGGTCAGTGAGTGGTCTCGCTTTCTATGAAAAAGCGACATGGAACAAAGTCTTTAATTTTAATTATTTTATTTTTTTAGAGATTTATTTATTTTAGAGAGAAGAGAGTGAGGGGGGCAGAGGGAGAGGGAGAGAGAGAATCTCCTGCTGAGCGCACAGCCCGATGCAGGGCTTGATACCACGACCCTGAGATCATGACCTGAGCCGATGCTCAACCGACTGAACTAGCCAGGCACCCCTAATTTTAATTTTAAATTATTTTGGTAGCACAGGTAAAACAGGAACCCAATCTCCTTAAAAAATGGATGAAACGAAAGTCCCCTAGCTGTCCCATCCTACTCCCCTCTCCTGCCTTCCTCCCGTGTGTGTCATCACGGCTGTGAGCCATAGAACCTTCCAGACATTTTATATTTTTAAAATTTTGCACTCATGTTGCGTACACATAGAAAATGTTGGGTATCATTGTGTGTGGTTCAAAGTGGCAGCATACTGCCCCGTCTTGCTGTAGCTTGCTTTCCCAGATGCCACAATGTGTTTTGAAGACCTAGTCATGTCTGTGCGTGTAGAGCTGCTTTGTTTCGTGTGACTGCTGGGGTGATTCCCTGCAGGGACAAGCCATGTTTCGCCTCTCTGTCCCTTGCTTGATGGATGGTGGAGAGTCGAGCTGTTCCCACTTAGGCTCCACTCCAAGGCTCTGGAAAGAGGCACAGCCAAGCCCTCTCTCCTGGGGATCAGACTGAAGCAGCCCCGGCTTCACTGGACAAGAGGATGAGGGCTACAGAGAAGGGTGGCCCCTAGTCGGGGCTGATGGCAGAATTGGTCCCGGCAGGTCCCTTCCTGGGCCTGGGGCCTCATTTCTGCTCCCCAGCCCGAGCATTGGCCTGATAGGGAGCCTTACTGCCTCCTGGTAAGAAGGGGCTACACAGACAGATGGGGACATCGGTAACCTGTATACAGAGGGGCCTCTGCTGTGGCCCGAAGTTCTAGTCCTTGGCAGAGGCTTGGACCCCTGGAGGCCCGGACACACCTGGACACCTGGGTCCTGCTTCCAGGAATGATCCTCTGGAAATTAGCTCTCAGGCCTGCCTCCTGATCAGGCCAGACCGTCCCCAGGCTGCTTCAGCATGCACCTGCCCCCATCTGTGGGAGTCTCCTGGGAATCATGCTTGGGGAGAGGGGGTTCTGGACAGAGGGGCCACGTGGAATTCCAGGTGGCTTTCCTGCCAGCCAACATTTGCCAAGTATCTGTGTGTGCCAGGCCATGCTGGGTGCCCAGAACTTGGCAGCAGCTCTGACACTGTTTCTGTCCTCAGGGAGCTCGGGGGCTGGTGGGAGTTTCAGGCAGGTGAGTCACCAGTCTTGACAAGTGGTTTATTTGTTTGAATAGGTGGTGCAGGCGTGTGGTTAAAAACCACAAACTGCATGGAAGGATACGTGCAGGATACCCCTGTCTCTCGGTCACCTTCTCCTCACTGGAGGCAGCCACTATTGTTAGTCCTGGCCGTGTCCTCCCGCAGATGGTCCATGCATTCAAAAGCAGATCTCCTCAAGAAACAAAGCAAGCCAGAACCCAATCCACATACCGCACGACTGGCGCCTCCAACAGAATCTTCTGTCTGCATTTTGCACTGACCAGCATTTCTGGGAGATAATTACATATCAGTATGTATAGATCCACCCCATTCTTTTCAACAATAGCAAACTGATAATAATAGCGGGAACTTGTACTCAACTATGTGCTGGATGCTCCTCTAAGCACTTTATTTATATTAACTGATCTACTTCCCCAAACAGCTTGGAGATGGGCACCCCGTTAATTTCGCTCCACAGGCGAGGAGGCCAGGGGAATGCCCCATTGTGTGATGAGGCCTCATGGACTTCCACGGCCACTCCTGATGGACATGTGGGATGTTTCTGGGCGGTGAGCACTCTTGTACTTTTATCTCTGGGCACTTGTATCTCAGAGGATAAATGCATGGAAGCGAATGGCTGGGTTAAAGGGCATTTTTGGTTTAAATAGCTACTGCCAAATTGCCTCTGAAGTGATCACACCCATTTACATAGAGCTGCACCTGCCCCTCCTGCTCCCAGCAGCAGGGCCAGGACTGCCTTTATCCGCTTGGTCTATCTTTGCCAATCTGATAGAAGGAAATAGTCTCTCCTTGAGGTTTTCCTTTGCATGGCTCTTACGAGAGAGGTCAAGTGTCTTTTCATACAGAACAGCACCATCTGATACAATCAGAATCCAGCAGGGCGGGTCCAAGGAGGCCTGGGAGCCAGGAGGCCCTTGCGGTGTAGGTGGACATCTCTGAGCTGGCCCTTGGGGCGTGGGGCACACAGGGAGGGCACCTTTGGCAGAGGGAAGGGCCTGAGCAAAGGCTCAGGGGGCGCCTGATCAGTTCAGGCCTGAGGACGTCCCTCTTCTCAGCAGTGTCACCCCTGCTCCCTGAGTCCCTACCCCCCAGCCAGGCTGTTTCCTCTTCTCCCTCACACAGCTTGAGCTAAACCTTGGTTCCTGGGGTCTCTGCCCCCCAGGGGGCTCCTTCCAGGGTCCCCAGAGGGAGCCTTCCCCCCTGACGCCTTTAGTGAGGTAGCTCACATGGGCTGCTTCCCCTACCCCTCCCACCCATCCCTGCCTCCAGCTGAGCGAGCGTACATCCTCATTAGCACGGTTCAGTGGCCAGCACTGGTAATTGATCTCCCTCCAGCCCAGTGTGGACACCGGCTAATGGGGATGAATGGGGCAGGAGGTGCCGCCAAGGGACGCTCACCCAGAGGCCCACACAGGGGTGGAGAGGAGGGGAGGAGATGGAGATGCGTTGAGCAGGCCCATGACTTGGATGGAGAGCCTGCAGTTGCCTCTGCCCACCCACCAAGGCTGCCACCTGGCCCTCAACCCAGGTCCTGGGGCAAGATGAGCACACGGGTGGGCAGAAGGGCTCTGGAATTCAGCTGCCTGCTGGGGTAAGGGCAGGGGCCAGTCTAGGAGGCAGGACTGGAGTTTTGGGATGGCATCCCAGGAAGGCATTGGGGCCCTAAGGTAGGGCAGGCAATGTCCTTAATTAGTCATGTATAGGGGAGGGAGAGAGACATTCCAAAGCAGGAGCAGGTAGTCATGGATTCCATTGCAAACAAGGATTCCATTGCAAATAAGGATTCCATTGCATAATCAGTTGACAAATATTTATTAAGTGCTTACTGTGTGCCAGGCACTGGGTAGCTGCAAGGTGACCAAAACAATCAAGACCTTCTTCATGGGTGCAGGGTGATAGAGAGTAACCAAGAAAATAAACAATGAAGATGGTAATAAATGGTAAGTGCTCAGAAGGCAATAAACAGAGTTATGTATTAGGGTGATGGAATGGAGGTGGCACTTTAGGAAGGAACATGGGGAAGCCTCTCTGAGGAAGCAACACGTGAGCTGAGACCTGAACAATGAGAAGGAAAAGCAGTCCAGGCAAAGGGAGCAGGCAGTGCAAAGGTCCTAAGGTGGAAATGAACTTGGGGTTTTTGAGGAATAAGAAGGGGCCAGTGTGGTGCTTGGCTGGCTCAGTCAGAAGAGCATGGAACTCTTGATCTCGGGGTCATGAGTTTGAGCCCCACATTGGGAGTAGAGATTACGTAAAAAAAATTTAAAAATAAAATCTGAAGAAGAAGAACAACAACAACAACAGCAACAACAACAACAACAACGGGAAGAAGAACAAAGGGAAGAAGAACAAAGGGAAGAAGAAGAACAGGGGAAGAAGAAGAAGAGGTCAGTGTGCTGGAGTGTGGCCCATGAAAAGATGAGCTGAGAAGTTGGTGGCAATAAAGCAAGAAGGGTCATGGTCAAGGCCAGAAGCCCCATTGCCAGGTCTGTGGGGTCATGGTGGATGGGACCCCTTTCCTGAGGTGGTGTTGGCCATACACCAGTCCTGCCTGGGTTAGCTGGGCTGGAGGGCCTTGGGGAAACCAGGCTTGGGAAGACCCTTGCCACTCCCTGGTCACTGTGCCCGCAGACTTTAGGGGGATAAGAGGGACTCCCAGGGGTGTCTGGGCCAAATTCAGCCTGATTTAGAGGAGACACAGAGACCTTCTTGGCCATTCAGGAGAAGGTATCCAGTGCCTGCTACCTGCATATCACAGTGGCATCCTGTATTGTCTAACTTCTGGCTGACTTGAGATGAAACTCAAGTAGTCCTCCCAGGACTGAACAAATCTACTAATGAGCATTAACGTTACAGAATAAAGCTTAACACAGAAGCAAGTTGGAGTTAGCCTGGCAGGTAAGCAGGAGCACTCTAGAATTCTTGCAGGGTTTTAGATATAAAACCCATGCATGTGTTTTATGGACAATTTAAACAATTTCCAAGGGTAATCTTGATTGTTCTCTTGATTTTTGCCATCTGTGCTCACTTCACTGTCAAGTGCCCAAGCAGCCATTCCTGCAGGGCTAAGGTATGTCCTGGACCCACAGTGGGCCAGCATTTGCCAACTAGCAGAGGTATCTCACATGAAAGGACCACTCCAGACTAGTCCCCATTCTCTGAAGGCATGTTCACACACCATATTTTTGCTTAGATTGTCCCCCTCAACTCACAGTGCCATTCCCTACATTGATGCTGGTCAGTTTCTTCATATCCTTGAAGGACCTACTCAATATTCCTTTGTTTCCCTGGCTGTCCCTGGTCCTCCTCACCCCCTCTTGTAGGTTCCTGTCTACTGTCTATTAGAGCTCGGTATAGTAAAGCTTTTGGATTACACATCCCAGTAAAATGTGATCTAGAAAAAGTATTTGATAAACTTCATCATCAATTTATGATATAAAAAGATCATTTCAGGGTGCCTGGGTGGCTCAGTTGGTTAAGTGTCCAACTCTTGATTTCAGCTCAGGTTTTGATCTCAGGGCCCTGAGTTCAAGCCCCACATTGGGCTCCAGGCTGGGCACAGAGCCTACTTAAAAAAAATTAAATTTAAAAATCACAATTTCTTAGCAACTAGAAATTAAAAAATAATTCTTTATCCCAATAAAGGGCATCTCTCAGATATATAGAACAAACTTCATACTTAATGTTGAAAATTATAGAAGGAATAGGGAAAAGATGCTGTTAGTACTACCATTCAGCATTGTAGTGGAATTCTAACCAATGCACTAACACAAGAAAATAAATAAGTATAAAGATTAGAAAGGAAGAGACAAGGGCAGGGACCATCTCCTTCATCTTGTTTCCAATTAAGTGGGTACTTAATAAGTGTTTGTTAAATTGAAGAAAAATTCAGTGTGTTCTCAAAGAAGTTTTTTGAAAAAGTCAGGGACAGAGCTGATCCTCCATTAGCAAGAGTCTAAGAAAATTCACTGATGCTCAGGAGGTTCCATGATCATGTCCTGCTAAAAAGATAGAAGCACAGTATTTCCCTAAGGCCAGAACTGAATGACAGAGCTCTTGGCATGCCAGGAAAGGACTTATTTTCAAAATAATTGGTGTTGGTCTCAAAATAGGGACAAGATGTTTAGGTCACTGGAATCTCTGTGGCAAGAGAAGTAGATGGTACCTGGATTCTGCATCAGGAGTGGGGAGCTGGGGCAGCAGAGCCAGGCAACTACTTCTAGTTAGTGGAAGCTGCAGAGATAAGAGGTGTGGAACCCAGGAAATCCTTCTGCTCTTTCTCCTGGGACAATTAAGATCAAAATATCCTGCCTTTTTCCCATGGGGTTCTAGAATATTGAGTCTAATTCTGACTTCCCATCCATTCCCTGCCAGGTCCAGGTTCTTGATATATCTATGACATCAGCCCTGGAAAAGGAGTTCTGGCTCAAAGCAAACTTGTTGTTAGGCATCTCCTGTTTCTGCCTGGTCCCCATCTCTTCTCCCATATTCTGGATTTTCTTCTGGGAAGAATCCTCCCCCACCCTTGGTCCATATTCTTCATGGGAAGTGAGAACAGGACCCAGGCCTGACCAGTCAGCATGCTCCATCCCTTCAGCAGTGAAGTGGGCAAACGATGCCTGCTCCCCAGTCTTTGCTGAGACAGAGAACCTCCCTCTTCTTGGAGTTCTGGAGCCACTAGGGACCACCTTCCTGCCCATGGTCCCAGAGTGAAATTCACAGAGAAGCAGACTCAGAAGAGGGTGACCAACCTTGGCCCAGTGACCACATTTAAGACCTAGATCTAGCCATGTCTAGCAGAGCTTTCTTTCCAAGACAGGAGCAAAAAACACCCTCTCCCAACTTTTTCTTCTAAACTGGTTTGAATTGGGTTTCTGGCATGTGCAATCAAAAGAGTTCTGGTTGACACCATGGGAATGAGAAAGTCTGGGTGGGAGAAGCCAAGGGTCTGGGTCATACAAGCCATCTCATGGAGAGGGGAAGACACAAACAGCTTCCAAATGGAGCCCAAGTTGGCACTCCCTGCCCCTTCCTTCATCCTGTGCTGACCCTTCCAAGGAGGCTGGCCGCGAGATCCCAAAAGGAATGGCAGAATGATCAGATATCATGCTAAGTTGTTTTTGTAAAGTCAACTTATTGAGGTATAATTTACAAACAATAAAATGTACCCATTTTAAGGGTATATTTCAGTGAGTTTTACAGATTTATCCCCCTGTGTAACTCCCACCACAATCAAGATAGAGAACATTTCCATCACCCAGAAGGTGCCTTGTGGTCCTTCCTTGTCAGTCTCTGCCCCTCCCTGTACCAGGCAACCACTGATTTGCTTTCTATCACCGTGGGTTAGATTTTTTACTTTAGAGTGTTATAGTTTTAGAGTTTTATATAGAGTCTGGTATATGAGAGTATTCACAGATTCCGTATTTGTGAACTCGTTTACTCACTAAAATTTATTTGTAACCCCTAAATCAAGACTCATGGTGCTCTATGGTGATTCATGGACATGTGCAGAGTGGTGAAAAATTTAATTCGAGGGACGCCTGGGTGGCTCAGTCGGTTAAGCCTCTGCCTTCAGCTCAGGTCATGATCCCAGGGTCCTGGGATCGAGCCCCACATCGGGCTC